CGGAGCCCTCCTGAACCCAGCTCTTGGCAGCAGATACGCAACCTTAACCATCTGCTCATTTCCCCCAGAAGAAAAGACTCCCTGTCTGCTTAGCCTGGCTGTCCCGGCTAGAACTGACACCCCCTAATTAAATCATCATGGACCAGGAACCCCATCCATGGGCAGCACTTCCTGGCCTGACTGCTGACAGTTTTGGGATGGCCAGAGTCCTGGTGGAGCCATGGAGTAAGCATTTGGCTGTTAGATGAAAGGTCATTTGTTCTAATCCACGAACCGCTCTGCAGAAGGGTGAGGCCGCCTCTTCCAGCCACGGATACTGTACGGGGCAGTTCCGCTCCTCCTGAGGGGTCCCCACGAGTTAGAATCAACTTGACACCAGGGGTTTGGCCTAGGAGCTGGTAATGCGCGTCGTGGGGTCTGTCCTGTCCACTGTAGGACGTTTAGTTGCATTCCTGTTTTCCACCTGCTACAGGATTAGTGACCCAGTAACTCTGTCACGACACGGTCAGGATGGCACAGGACAGGGCAGAGGACGGATCCATGGTTCACAGGGTTGCCATGGGTTGTAGTCAATTCAATGGCATTTGACAGTAACTTGTGCCTAGTGGTATCCTAACCCCTGTTGTTGTTGTTAAGTGCCGTCGAGTTGCAGGCAACTCATAGCGACCCAATGAAGGAGAGTCCTTGACGCTCCTAAACCCCTAGTTCTGGAAAAAAACATGTGTCCAGATACTATCAAGTGCCCCCTGCCCAGTGGGGCCCACCCGGGAATATCAATGAGCAGAGGCTGTCCGTCAGCAGCTAAAGACCTCAGACAGTTTACCAGGCAGCTAGCCTTGGTCAGAGGACATGCACAGAGTAGCCCAGATTCAACAGAAAGGCTGGACTTGTCACTGGGCAGGTGCCGGGGACAGCACGGGGCAGAGCACGGGCAGTCAGGACATGGGCAGTTTACTACAACGAGATGTCTTACAGGCACTGGGTGTACATCCTGATGACATGGGCTGGCCTCTTCCTTGACATGGTGGGCAGAGGTGGCCACCCAGTCAGTCAAGGAGAGCCCGAGTGTGGCAGCCTCAGCCCTCAACATGCTATGCAATCCCCAGTGAGTACTCTGATCTTACCCAGCCTCAGTGGTTCATCCATAAAATGGACATTCTCACAGGGCTGAAGTCAGGACCCCAAGTCCTGCATGTGTCCCCGGGACACCACGTTGGTGTCCTGACCCTAGCCTGGCCATGAAGGGCCTCACCTCCCAGCTGTGGGTGTCCTGGTCCACACATGAGTCCTAGTAACAGGGCCATTGCACAGCCAAATATTCTGCTAACAGGAGCCATGGAAGGTCGAGCGGGGGGGACCTTGGAGACCAGACTCTGAGTAAGTAAATGAGGATCAGAAACGTGGAGTCTCTTCCCTCCCTCTCCATCCACCAGGCACGAGGGGAGGAGCAGATTCCAGGTGCAGAGCTGGCACCTCGCTGGGAGGGCCCCAGCACAGAGACCGAGTAGAGCAGGGGGCTCTGGGAGAGCGCCTGCTGTATTCTGAGCATGAGGGCATGCAGGGTGCTCCTGTGGTCTCTCCATGCCGTTAGCACTGTCAGGTCACTCTACAAGAACACCCAGCTGCGGTCCTGCCCTGAGGTCCTCAGCACGGCCCACCCCTGTCCTCTAGACTTCAAGCAGCCATGGCCACCCCCTCAGCTGCTGTGATGTTCCACGGTGGTCGGCAGAATGCCCAGGAGAGCCGTGTCTACAAGGCACTTTTCTGACAGTGAAAACAAATCAACGGATCTCTATGCAGCCTGGCCAGGGATTCAGGCAGATCCAGTCCAACCTCACCAAGCACCTCGCCGTGGCTTTCAAAGCGAGACAAGAGTGACATCCCTGCTCAAAGCCTGCAACGGTGGGATCCAAGGTTCCTGGGGACTGTGACTCAGAGGGGATTACTTCTTCAGGCCCTCCCCCTGAGTCCTTGAGGTACGGTGGTGGTTTAGAAATGGAAATCAGAAAGAGGCGAGTGTTGTGTGCATGTGTGCACATGCCTGTGTGCGAGTGTGAGTGCACACCGTGTGAGTACGTGCACCTGGACAGAGAGCACGTCTAGCTGTGAAGGAAGATAAATCAAAGGACAGCACAGAAGTGTGAGCACGTCCCAGCAGTGGGCAGAGCATTAGGGACAGGGTGTCCGTCCTCCCCTCCAGGTATGTTCCAGAGCTTCCTAAACTCTGCAGGTGCCCAGGGCCTCCTCCAGGGGCTCCCACACTGGTTACCTGGTTCCTCCGGGGGCGGCTGGATGCTGACCTCTGGCTCTGGGTCAACTTCAGGGGGTGGAGGAGGAGGGGCTGGGGGAGCTTTGACAGGGGTGGTCGACTCCGGGGTCTCGAATGCTTCTTCAGAATCAGAACTCCTGATGGAGAGAGAGGGAAAGAGTCAAGGTTAGACAGAGAGCTCAGCGCCCGTTTGCTTGCAGGGGCCCTAGTCCACCCTGCTTGGGTGGGTGTTACTAGACCTCGGACTCTGGGGCCAGGAATCCACTCACTCCTCGGCTGGGCAGCTCCAGACAGGCACAGGGTGTCCCGAAAGTGAGAATCAGCATCACTAGTTTTAATGATGCCCAAACAATACCCACTTTGACTCGGTTCTGCATGCGACATGTACGTCCAGCCTTAATGGCCAGCACAGGCAGACTTCGTTATATTTCAATGCACTGAAATGCCTTTTCCACAAACTGAAGGTCTGTGGCAACCCGGCATTAAGCAAGTCTATCGACGCAGTTTTTCTAAAAGCACGTGCTTATGTCTCCCTGTCACATTTTGGTCACTGTCACAATTCTTCAACCTTTTCTTCATGCCACTGTGTACTTAATAAATTCAATTCACTATTCTTGAGATGGTTCCAACTCCTGGCAACTCTTCATGAGTTTTCGGGGGCTACATAAAGTAAGGGTGTCAGTTTAAAGACACAGGTACACCTGAGACAAGCCATGGTATTGTTATTGTTTTTATGGATCTGAAAGCCGGACAATGGATAAAGAAGACAGAAGAACAACTGGTGCCTTTGAACTGTGCTGTTGGAGAAGAATACGGAATATCCCACGAGCTGTCAAACGAACAAGCAAGCCTGTCTTGGAGGAAGTGAGACCTGGGTTGCTCCTTCGAGGCAAGGCTGGTGACACGTCCCCTCAGATACTTTCAGCATGTTCGCAATCTTGGGAAAAAGATACCCTGCTGGACCAAGTGGAGTCCCACCAACAAAAGAGGAAGACCGCCAACAAGACGGACTGATAGGTGACGGCAACCATAGGCCCGAGCAGGCAGGGATCTGACGGGGGCGCCGGGCAGGGTCTCAGTCAGTGATTCTCTGTGAGGCAAAGGAGACTTGATGACACCTAACAATAACAACTCCACACAGGAGAGCACCGTCCACCCTTCCCCTGAGGAATGGCTGGTGGATTCCAGCTGTCACGTTCTCAGCACCCAGATAACACAGTGCACCACCAGGGCGCTCCTTTAAGAGGAGCACACAGCACAAGGAAACACAACTTTCTGAAGCCCTGGGAAACGAGAACACGTGTTCTCGTGAAGACTCACTTTACTGCAATATCAGCTTTACTGTGCTGGCCGGGAATCGAACCTGCGGTATCTCAAGGTCTGTCTGGACAAGTCTGGGGACTGTCTTTTTTTTTGACAAGTCTTGGGGACCGTCTTGACGAGTGCTGGTACAGCTAGCAGAACCACACAGTCAGCACAGGGAGAGGCCCCAGGGCCACCTCCACTCCATGGGTCCCCGGCACCAGCTCCCTTACCTCCCCACCCTGCCCTGTCACTCTCTCCCACCTCTCCCCACAAAGCACCCCCAAACCTGTTATTACAGAGGCTTCACGTCCCATCATGCTGATTACCGTTCTCCCCCTGCTGAGCTCAAAGCGCCAGCCATACTCCCCCTGCCCTGTGCTGAACCCACAGACTCTAATGAATAGATAAACACAAAGCCATCAGCCCGCCACCCGGAATGCGTGGCCACAGACACAAACAGCTGGTGGGTGCAGTGCGGAGCTGGCCTTGTTGGTCTGCGGGAAAGCCTGTTTCCAAAGAGCTGAACCAAAACCCAGCAAGACAGCACCATTCAGAACTAAGGGAGGCCATCTGGTCCAGCTCAAGCCTTGCTGTGGCCTAAAGGACCCCGAGGGCAAACGGACAGCTGCCCTCTCCACCCTGGCTTCTTCTTCCCTCTGTTTTAAGCCAGCAGGAATAAAGCCACTGAGCACATCCTGCTTCCAGTCGGCCACCATGGGACTCACAAAGTGCCCACCCCAGCTGTTGTCTGTACGGATTTCCTGAGGTCCACTCTCCACTCAAGGCAGACCAGAGGGGCCTGGTTCACTCCCATCTCAATAGTTTAAAACAGAGAATTTTATCAGAAAAGTGGGTGTTTCTGTGCACCAAGGGGTACAAACAGTTCCAGCAGAGAAACGACATGATGGTGGGTGTCGTTGCTGAACCAATCAGCTCTGTGGGAAGTGGTCAGCTCCCTACCAGGCTCAAAAGGAGCAGGGACCTCTCCCAGGCATCACTGTCTTCTAGAGACATCAACAGGTTGGCAGAGAGCCAACCCCCCCATTGCCAGAACCCCAATGAAGAGCCATTTGATGAGTGTCCTCCACAAAATCTGCACCCACATTTCTACAACTTGCTTGTTGGTGACCAGCTTCTGCCAAAGACCCTGTTTCCCCAGGAAGCTGTCCCTCCAGACAGACAAAGCCCACCAGCAACCCCACGAGCTGAGCAGACACACTGGAGTGGAGTTTTAGGGCCTGAGTGCTGTTAGATTTCATGAGTCGATTCCACATTCGTGCAAAAGCAAAAGGGGAGAGGCAGCCTACAAGTGCTCGGACGTGGACTCAGCTTTTGTCTGTGTGGAGGGTGTAAGATCCACACTTGGCAGTAAGAGACACAGGGACCTGAAGTTCTACAGGATCAGCTCAGGGGCATGAGAAATGTAAGGTGGGCGGGCAAGGGGACATCCAGAGGAACGAGCGGTGGCAGAGACCCGGTGCCTCCTGGAGAGCTCAGTCCCCCAACCTCCCCCCACCTCCCCCGGACCCTGGCGCCCAGCCCTGCAGACATAGAGGAGACACACACCCCAACTTGCCTCTTTCCCGTGCTGCTGTCTGGAAGGGCGAGGAGGCTGGAGTCGCCGCTGCTGAGCACGGCTGTCCACACCCACCGGGCCCACTCCACCGGTGACCACATCTGCCAGGAGCCAAAAGCCATCGCCGCGGAAGCACAGCCTCTGTTCTCCAAACGCCCACCCAGATTCCCTGTCTGGTGTCTCTGGGTCTAAATCTCTTCAGCTGTCACAATAAAGTGATCTGTGTCCCCAGACCACCGTGCTGCGAGCGTCTCCAGGCCCCAGACACCCACGAGCCACCCCTCTCCAGCAGGGATGCTGCTGAGGGAGAGAGGCTGTGGGCTCCCGATCGCCTCTGCATCCCTGGGTGAAGCATGGCTTTGGAGCACAAAGGGCCTCTGCTTTGTCCCAACGGCACAAGCTGCGGGGAGGGCCGGATGCGCTGGGACTCGAGCTGCTGAATTCCAATGAGATGTCCAGGCTGCAGCTGCCCAGCACGGACACCTGCTCCGGAGGGTCCCCACTGCCTGTCCCCGCGTGCTGGGAGGAAGAGTGTGGGGTGCTGGGGCAGTGCACAGCAAGCCCCTTTTGTAAACAAGCTTCCAACGTTGTTTACTATAAACCAGTTCTGGGTCAAAACATCAGGGGCGCTGTGGACGCACGGGCTTCCGGCTCTGCCTGCCTTGTTTTCATATGCCCACACCTCTCCCAGGAGCCCTGAGCAAGTTAATTAGAGGAGGCGGGTGACAGCTTTTTTAATTAGCTCTTCTCCCCTCCCCCCAATGCATTTCCCAGGGGCTCAAAAGCATCTCAGCAGTCCACCCACAAAGAGTCTGTCTGTACACGAAAATAAAAATAAAGCTACACTTGGGAGTCCCCCCTCCCCGGCATAAACAGTTAACATGGGCGCTTACATGCATTTCCCTACCAGAAGAAACAAAAATGCAAGAAATTCCTCTACTACAGCTCCATATACTTTCAACATGAAAGATAATAAAGTTAAGGTAATTTGACACATAAATGCATCAGAAAGAGTTTGCTAAAATGTCTCTAGATGACTGACACCATATTCACCAGGGTATTCATAAGCTATATTCACAAGAGGTGATGGCTTAGTCAGAGTCTTCGAGCAGAGGGCTGCAGGCTAATTCAAAGACCCTTTGACTCTGGTGCTTTAATAGACCAGCAGCAGTTCGGGAAAAGACGGCCAGTCTTCCCTTGAGATTTATAGCATCAGGAACCCACGGGGACATTGCTGAGTTGGAAACAACTTGATGGCAATGAGTTAGTTATCTATGCCCACCACATACACTGATACAAAAATATAATACAGATTAGAAGTGATATATGATTGAGTATTATGGTTAGCACAGGAATCCAGAATTAAGGTTGCATAGAGAAGTGTACTCGGGGTGGGGGGTGGGGGGAAGGGACGTGGGAATTATATACTAATGAAGGAATTTTTTTCTTTTTTTTTTCTCTCTTCGGAGGGGGAAGAGAGCTGGTGGGGAGGGGTGGGAAGGGAGAAAATTGAGGCAATGAATGAATGGAAATCCAAAACTTCTGTAAAAAAAAATAAAAAATAAAAAATAATATTAAAAAAAAACAGTAGCTGTTAAGAGCAACGATATCACTTCAAAGACTAAGGTGAGCCAGATGCAAGCCATGGTATTTTCAATTGCTTCCTATGCAACAAAGAGTTGGGCAGTGAGTAAGGAAGAATGAGGAATCCCCAACTCTGAATCGTGGAGGTTGAGTACTAAACGTCCAAGTGAACTGCCCACAGGACAGATGTGTCCTGGAGGGTGTGGAACCAGGGTGCATCTTCATGGCAGGGATGGTAACACTGCACCTCACGTGTCATGTCCACCTCATGGACACGTGGTCAGGAGGAGGCAATCCTCGGGGAGAGAGACATCATGCTGGAAAAGTGGAGGGTCAGAGAATGGACACAGTGACTGTAAAATGGGCTTGCGTATGACGGAGAGCGTGATGACCGCGCAGAGCAGGGCTCTGTTCTGAGGGTCATAAGGTCGCTGAGTCATAGTGGACACGATGGCACCTCACAACAACACAGTCAGAGAGCTCTTCACTAGACCGGACATTAAACACGGTGTCGGTGTCGTCAATCCCCAGCATGAAAAGCAATGCTAAACGCCATGCTCTTTGCAGATAGTTACCATTCATCAGCTCTACCCCCGTGGGTACAGCACAAAACACTGCCCATTTGGGGGCCCACCTCCACTGTGACAGCCACTGCGCATTCTGAGTGCCTGCCAGCCCAGACGGCTCACCTTCAGGCAAGCTACGGACAATATCCCGTCGTGAGCCTGGCTAATGTCCGGAAGGAGATCACCAGGCTTTTCCTCCTAGTCTTAGTGCAGAAGCTCCGATGAAAGCTGTCCACCATGGGTGACCCCACTGGGGTCTGAAATGCCGGCCACAGCTCAACAGCAGGCAAAGGACCACAAACAACTAACAGATGGGGGTGGAAAGGTGGAGATGCCAAACTATCAACAGACAGTAACACTGTGTTTATGTCAAGCACTCCATGAGGCCCATTTATAGACATTTATCTATGATCTTAAAAACATGAAATAAAAAAAAAAGCCAAAAACCAAAAAACCCACCAAACAACTGCCTGTGGAGAGAAGGGATCACTTTACCTGTGAGAAAACGGTGGATTAAAGCAAACAAAACTGGTGCAAGTCAGTTCCCACGAGCAGTGACTACAGGACAGAGTGGGGGCTCTGGGACCAGAGTGGTAAGAAGCTGAACTGCAGTCCCCATGGCACATGGTTCAAATCCACCAGCTGCTCCACGGGAGACGTATTAGCAATCTCCTCCCTTGCAATTAATTGCCTCTGAAAACCCTCAGGAAAACCTGCAGGAGGGTCAGCTATGAATTGGTTCAATTCGACAGCGCACAACACCAGGACGGGGTAGCCGGCTCTGAGGCCCAGTCTGCAGAGAGATGTGTTTCTAGCCCACAGGTGGTACCTCTCCTCTCTGGAGATTTACAACCATCAGCAGCTCTGAGAATGATGGGAAATCTCCTCTCATGTGATTTACGGTCTCGGGGACCCACTGGAGGGTCAGATACGACATGGTTTCCTGATGAGACTGAGGTTTTTTGAGAGCACAGAGCAGAACTGGCCCCTTGGGTTTTCTGAGGCTGTAAATCCTTACAGAAGCAACTGCCTCACCTTTTCCCTGTGGAGTGACTGGGGGATTCAAACAGCTCACCTTCTGAAGAACAGCCAAAGAAAGACTTTAGCCACCGTGCTACCATGCCTGGAGAGAAAAATTCCCCTTGGAGGACACAGGGCTAGTAATCTGATACATGGCGGGGCTCAAATCCGTGACTACCTCTAAAATCTTGTCACACCAACAGTAAATGTCCAAAGTGTTTAGCAACAGAACCTTCTTCCACATGAAATCTCACACAGAATTCCTACGCAAAGGAAAAAGAAAGGCAAGATTTCACTTCTATCATAAGCTCAATTTATACTGTATTCCAGCACGCTGTCATGCAGAACGATCCAGCCAACGGACCTGGAGGCTTGGGGCGGGGGAGGGGGATGTCAGGCATCAGCCATGCCCCTCCTCTTGGGGTTACAGTGTGAGACCTGCGGATTTTCTGCTGGTCGAACGTTATCAAACCTTGATGCGTGAAGAAGAATGACGCCTTCGCGCTGCGGCGTTGGCAAGGAGTGTGGACTATCCCACGGAATGCCAAAAGAACACACAGAAACGTCCTGGAGAAGGTGCGGCCAGAGTGCTCCTCGGAGCGAAAATAGTGACGCTTCATCTCCCATACTTAGAGGGTGTTCTTAGAGGGGAGGGCACTCCTTGGAGAGGGACAGCACGCTTGGGAAGGTGGAGGGTCAGTGATAAGAGAAAGCCCCTCAGCAAGCTGAATGGACCCAGTGACTACAGCAACGGGCTCAAGTCGTCAGAGACGGTGAGGTCGGAGCACGATAGGACAGGGTTCAGGTCTGTGGTTCATGGGTCACTACGAGTCACACTCAACGGCATCAGACAACAACGATGTGTGTAAATGAGGAGCTAGCAGCAGCAGTCTCCGACTTTTAAGAGTTTATCACGTGGTGGTGGGATGCTCTTTAAACAGGCACACAAGGCAAAAGAACTGGGTATCTTCACAAAACTGAGTTGGTCTATTGCTGTTGTTAAGTGCTGTCGGGTCGCAGGGGACTCATAGCGACCCTATGAAGGAGAGTCCTCAACGCTTGGGTGTCTCTCATCCTCTCTCCAGGTTCATAGGGTTTCCGGAGGCAAGCTATTATGGAAGTGGATGCCACTCCTGCTTCTAAGCTTGTTCTAATCGGGGAGTTTCACCCAATACTGTCCACCATGGGTACCCAACCATTAATGCATTTGACACATCAGTGTCACAGTGTTCAGCCTCACAGCAAGCACAAGTTACCGCTTTACAGCAAGTGGACACACCAGGGCTATACGACCTAGAGGAATGTTTGAACAAAAACAATGAAAGACAGGCCCGAGGGCCGCGGATTAAAAGTCACCCACCTTTGGCTTGGTACCATCGCTTTCTGTCCACTGGGACACCTGATCACTCTCTATTGACCTATTAGCCCAAGGCAATCAGCTGACCGTATATGGAACCACACAGGACAGTAGACACAGCTGAAGGACAGATGGACACTTCTAACTCAGAGGGACAATTGACTGACTAAGCCACTGGAACCCAAACCTACCGAGTATATGTTAGTATCATTTCAACACACTTTTCAAGTGAAACCCAAAAGATCTGCACTGAGCTCTTGAGTCCTACAGAGCATTACAAACCTCTGTGCCACCAGCGGTGAATTCAGTCCCCCAGTAGCAAAACCCTGTGTCACAGGGACTCATCACAGAAAGCGACCTCAAGGTAAAAGTTGGGCAACTGACAAAACAACCAACCAACACTCAGGGAAGCAGCAGTCAAAAATCAAATGTCATCACTGCACTGGGCAAAGAGCAAAGATGGTACCTTAAGGTGCACCTGATCCAAGCCACGGTACTTTCACCTGTTGCACATGCTTATAAAGGTTGGACAATGAATACAGAACAAAGAAGAATGGATGTTCTGAATTGTGCTGGGAAATGGACCACAGACTGT